TCAGCTCTCTGTCTGCTCCTCCTGTTCTCTACTCTCATGTTCTGCTCTCAGGTCTGCTCCTGTTCTCCTCCTCCTGTTCTGCTCACCTGTTCTCCTCCTCCTGTTCTGCTCCTCCTGTTCTCCTCCTAATCTCCTCATGTTCTACTCTTCCTGTTCTGCTCCTCCTGTTCTCCTCCCGTTCTCCTCCTCCTGTTATGCTCCTCTTGTTCTCCTCCTGTTCTCCTCCCGTTCTCCTCCTCCTGTTCTGCTCCTCTTGTTCTCCTCCTGTTCTCCTCCCGTTCTCCTCCTCCTGTTCTGCTCCTCTTGTTCTCCTCCTATTCTCCTCCTGTTCTCCTCCCGTTCTCCTCCTCCTGTTCTACTCCTCCCGTTCTCCTCCTCCTGTTCTGCTCCTCTTGTTCTCCTCCTGTTCTGCTCTTCCTGTTCTCCTCCTCCTGTTCTGCTCCTCCTGTTCTGCTCCTCCTGTTCTCCTCCTCCTGTTCTGCTCCTCTTGTTCTCCTCCCGTTCTCCTCCTCCCGTTCTCCTCCTCCTGTTCTCCTCCTCCTGTTCTGCTCCTCCTGTTCTGCTCTTCCTGTTCTGCTCCTCCTGTTCTCCTCCTCCTGTTCTCCTCATCCTGTTCTGCTCGTGAAGGTACAAGCAAGGGGGGGGAAGCCATGTTCTCCTCCCGTTCTCTTCCTCCTGTTCTGCTCCTCTTGTTCTCCTCCTGTTCTGCTCTTCCTGTTCTCCTCCTCCCGTTCTGCTCCTCTTGTTCTCCTCCTGTTCTGCTCTTCCTGTTCTCCTCCTCCTGTTCTGCTCTTCCTGTTCTGCTCCTCTTGTTCTCCTCCTCCTGTTCTGCTCCTCTTGTTCTCCTCCTGTTCTCCTTTCAACCTTCCCTTGTTGAGGGGCCTGGTTATCGTCATGATGTCATGAGAGACCGATGAATGAGATGTTCTTCCTCTCCGTGTGTCGTCCAGACGGCAGTGAGAATGTGACGGGTTTGGACTTGTCGGACTTCCCGGCCCTGGCGGACAGGAGTCGAAGGGACGGGGGATCGAACCCGACGCCGCTGCTCAACCCGCTGGCTGGTCGGGCCCCGTACGGTAAGACAGACGTGTGTGTGTGTGTGTGTGGTAAATAACAACAATCATTCAGAAACAATCCGCTGAGTTATTTGTTTGCTTTCTACTAAACGACGAGGTCCTCTTCAGAAGATCGACGTTTTAATGTTTAAAACCATCTTTAATAAGAGAAACCGGAGTCCAGTTTAAGCCCCTCACATTTATTTTAATGTCCTCTTTAGTCTCAATCATCTTATCGAGTGGCTTTCAATCACGACTTTATATCATCGTATGATGTTCATTGGAAAAAAAGTTGTATATTTATTTCTGAATGAATTCCTAAACATCTAATAATAATAATATTGTATGAACAATAAAAATGCAGCGTTTTATAAAACTTAAACCACTTCATTTATCATTTAAAGATATTCTTCTACATTCACTTTAATAAAGCAAAATTATTAATTTTTATAACACATTGCTGGATTAAACTTGTACTTGATTATTATTTTGATACAATATAAAGCCCAGGCTGAATATAAATGATGAAGATGATCTTTCCCCTCTCCAGTTGGTATGGTAACCAAGCCGTCCAGTGAGCAGTCGCAGGACTTCTCCATCCACAACGAAGACTTCCCCGCCCTCCCCGGGCCCAACTACCAATCGAAAGACACCACCAGCGCCAGTGAGGACAGCAAAACGGTGAGAGACGTTTGACCTTTCTCGCCCTCACATTCTTCTCATTGTTTGCAGTTTTTTTTCATCGTCTGATGTTGTCGTGAATTAAGATGCTGACCTGCTGTTTTTTGTTCTTCATCACGGTGTCCTTTTCCTCACTTATGCAGCGCGCTCACGTCCTGACTCGTCCCATTTTTTCGGAATGTTTTTTCCCTCCGTTTTTGTCCAATCAGAATCTAAACTCGTCGGGAAAGCCCGCCTCCAACTCCGACGGTCCAAAGTTCCCTGGCGACAAGAGCTCGGCGCCTAGCAACAACAACCAGCAGAAGAAAGGGATCCAGGTGCTTCCCGACGGTGAGCAGGCCGCCGAGCCCCCCACGACCTCCCGGGGTCAGCCCCCCCCCCCGCGCCTCACGGGCTTCTGTTTTTCCAGGGCGCGTGACCAACATCCCGATCGGCATGGTAACGGACCAGTTCGGGATGATCGGCCTGCTGACGTTCATCCGGGCGGCGGAGACGGACCCCGGCATGGTGCACCTGGCGCTGGGCTCTGACCTCACCACGCTGGGCCTCAACCTCAACTCCCCCGAGTACAGCACGCGCACCTGCACATGTCACAGTGCGCCACGCATGACTCATCGCACACGCGCTGAAATCACGGGCAATAATTGTTGGTGCTGCGATATTCATTTTACATCTAAATGAACGGCACCAACATTTAATTTGATCCTCTGTCATTTTGCTTGTGGAAAAGGGGGCGGGGCTTATGCAGACACAGAGCGACACGTGAAGAGAAGCAGTGAACACAACTAAGCTAACTAACCCAACTAAGCTAACTACGCTAACATCTCACCCAAACAACAACCACCCGGCCGTCTTTAACCTGAACCACTGTCGGTTCCTCCGGACTGCTCCTCCGCCTCTTTGGGCGCGAGGCGGACGCAAACCCCCCTTGCGTGTCCCTTGCGTTGCGTTTCACACCTCCTTGCGTTTTTCGAGACATTTTTCTAGGCTTGCGACGAAAGCCTCCCGCAGCGCACCAGGTTGCGATCGGTCCGCTAACTACGTCCTTTACGGAGTCTCACATTTCTGCTTCCACAGCCCGATGCCGCCATTATTAAAACGAAGAATGTTTACGAGAGAACGGATCAGATTGAAGATCTTTTGTCGGAAGAAATGCGTAAATATGACGCTTATACGAGCCGTCATTGGGGGGGTTGTAGAAGCGGGTTGCGGGAGTTTGCCGGTCGAGAGGAACAAAGTCGTGGCGGAAAATACGGGACAAATGTGTCCTTGATGAGAAGCAGCAGTGTGGATGCACGGGGCAATAAAGTCTATGATACATAAATAAAGCAACCAGCGACTTCCACACACACAGACGTGACTCTCCAGGTCGTCTTCAACAGAACACGTGACTCCACCTGTTGTTCTGCAGGTGAATCGCTCTGCAACACACGCACGACTTTACAACCAGGAAGTGAAACCAGAGCGTCGACGCGTAAAGACGCAGAAACATGCGGCGACCTTTAGGGATGAAGTTTGCAGATGATAAAGTGGACAGAATAACTAAACGGTTTCATTTTCACCTCTTTGGTATAAATACACATTAGAAAATCTGAATACAATAAAAACATTTGCAATTAAAGTTGAATCTATAAAATGTAAAAATATAATTAAAAAAAGCTCTTTACAATGATTCATTTCAGCTGAAAGCCCCAATGACAGAAAATACACTCATTGTTTTATTGATTCCTGTCAACCTTTAGATGTGTGAGTGATAACTTGTGTACTTAATAACCCCCTGATGATGATGATGAGAAGCTTCTCTGAGCGTCTCCTGCTTTCTGTCTCAGGAACCTCTACCCGAAGTTTGCGTCTCCGTGGGCGTCGGCTCCGTGTCGACCGCAGGACATCGGTGAGCTTCCTTCATCTCACGCTCTTATTCTGAAAGAAAGACTGCACTTTGTTTACGTGATATTATTATTTGTGCGTCTGCAGACTTCCACGTGCCCTCAGAGTATTTAACCAACATCCACATCAGGGACAAGGTGAGCCGCCAGCATCATTCCTACTGGTTCCCTCACCGGGGGGGGTCTTCAGTGAGACGTGTTTTCTGCTCGTGTGTCACAGCTAGCAGCCATCAAGTTGTCTCGGTACGGTGAAGACCTGCTCTTCTACCTCTACTACATGAACGGAGGAGACCTCCTACAACTCCTGGCTGCAGTAGAACTGTGAGCACTTTTCCTCTCAATGAGAACGTTGGTCTACGGTGAAACGGTTGTGTGTGTTTTCAAATGATATGATTGGTTGATAAGGCGTAATGTGGGGGTCCGGATCGGTTTGTGTCCTGGTGATGCGTTCAGGGACGATAATGTGGTTTTCTCCGGTTTGTCCAGGTTCAACCGGGACTGGCGGTACCACAAAGAGGAGCGGGTCTGGATCACGCGGGCCCCGGGGATGGAGCCCACGCTGAAGACCAACGCCTACGAGAGGGGCACCTACTACTTCTTCGACTGCCTCAACTGGAGGAAGGTGGCCAAGGTGACGCTTCTGAAGCACGTTGCTTCTGTGATTCCTTGTTAATGTTAAACGTGCCGGCGGGTCCTCGAGGAGTCTCCAAATGTCTGATTTCATCCATCCGACGGCGTCACGAGGAAACCGGTTAAATGTGGAGAAACGTCTCTGAGAAGCTTCAAGTGTCAAATCCGTTCCGTCAAAAGGACAAACGTAACGTAGACAATTGAATATCTGCGTTGTTAAATCTAGTTAAACAGATTTAATTGTGTTGACATGAATGATGTTTGCTACTAAATATTAAATTACACGTTTTGTCTCTTTTGTAGTGAAAGCGGTTATTTGGGTTAAAATAATGAAAGTGGCTTCAAACGACGTCGTTCTTTGTTTCTGTTCCTGTGTTCTGACGTCATTACAAGAGATGTATTCATCTTTTTATGTGTGTGTATACAATGTATTTATATCCACTTGTTTATTACTGAAGCTTAAAAAGGACAATAACAATTATCTTTGACACATATGTATGTATTTATGTATGTATGTATATACTTTTTACTATTGATGAATATCACATGACCGTGTGTAGCATTGAACACTGACTTCCTGTTTGCAGGAGTTCCATCTGGAGTACGAGAAGCTAGAAGAGCGACCTCACGTTCCCTCCACGTTCAACTACAATCCCGCCCAGCAGGCCTTCTGATTGGCTCTACCTCCTCCTGCCTGCCTGCCATTGGCCCTCCTGGCTCCGCCCCCCCACACACATAACAAAGCAAATCTGGCCAATGAGGACGTCCCGATCCCCCAAAAAAACGATCTTGAATAGACTTCATGATTTTAAACCTTTTTCAGATTTATTTTGTTTGTTTTTACCCGTTTCCTCACTTTCTGTTTAGTTTTTACCCCCCCCCCCCTCAGTGGAGCACAGACTTAACGTTCAGCACACAGCAACACGAGCACTGTAAATAACTGTCCATCTGACCAGTGATTCCTTCTCGTCTTAAACATTGGGGACTATTTTTGTCCACTGAAGCTTTTAAGAACCAGATTTTAAACCTCACTCAGAATTCACCTGTCGGTGGATAATTATTTCTTTCTGTGTCACTTTGATCTTTGGCAGGAAAATATTTATCTTTGTTTTTACCAGGTTGTTTTTCCAGCAGCATTACAAATCAACAACAACAACAACAACAACACATCAGCAGACAGTCAGGAGAGAAAATGCAATGTACATTGTAGCACTATTTCATAATAAAAGAAGAGAAAATACCTTTTTTTCAGGGCGGTCTTTATAATACGGCGACATGATTTTAAAGTCAAGCCGTTTGAAGGAAACTCAGAATCTTCATCTACAAATATTTATTCGGCGATAAAAATGAAACATCCGGTTGATGAATCAGAAAGAGAAAGTAGAACCCTCGGCGCATTAATCCACATTGTACGTTAAATCAGAGATATTTTACTCTTATTTGTATCCTTTTCATCATTGATTAATGGAAGACAATATATTGTTCAAAAATAATAGTTGACGCCACTTTTATTAAGAGCCCAAATAATAACGGCATTTTTTGATTTTTTAAATTTATTTAAAGATGAAATTGAATAACGAAAAAAAAAATCGAATAACCTCAGATTTATTGTTCAAAATAAAACAACATAACGTTACGGGCATGAATTATGAGGGCAAATAGAAATACACATAATCTAAAATATTCAAATAGTTTGAATTCGATTGTGAGCACATCCCACTTTTAATTCTATTCTTTTTCATCTTGTTTTTATTATGGTTTTATTCTAACATTCTCCTTCCAGAGGAACCCCTGTTTTCTTTCACCTGTTTATTTTTAAGTTATTCTTCTTTTATTTGAAAGGTATTGTTTAATTTCCGCCTGGCAACAGTTCAAACCAATCAGACGCCTCTCAGGATCATTAAACCAAACAAAAAATAAACTTAATTTTCCTTTTGACGGCCAGATGTTCAGATCGATGTCATTCAGGCGTAATCCAGCTACCACGCTACGGCTAGCTAACATTAGCTTAGCTTAGCATCAAGATGTCTTTTACACTTCAGTTTTTATACAGATTGAATAAATTGGATGAACAGTTAACTGGCTTCAGAGGAGAAAGGATTGTGTCCCCTTTGGACAGAGCCAGGCTAGCTGTGTCCTGTTTCCAGTCATTATGCTAAGCTAAGCTAGCCCGCTGCTACCGTTAGCTTCACATCCAGCGTAGAGACACAAGACTTGCATCGATCTGAACATCCGGCTCGAGGAAGCAAAGACTGTTTCCTAAAATTTGACTTTTAGTCTTCAGCCTCCGTTGAGACGCGTATACAGATGTTTATGAAAACATATTTCTGTTTTATCACCAAACCTCCTTTTTACAAATCAGATCCGTCCACACGAGAGAAAAAAAACCTCCAGATTTAACTTCAGTGAGCTTATTTTCTAGCAGTTATTTCACTATTCACACACAATTGATAAGTTATAGTAAAAAGTTATTATCAGCAAATAACAACGTGCGACACGTGAACTCATGAAAATGTTTACTTTTTTGCAAATTTTGTGTGGATTTGAGACCAAAACGTAAAGGAGAATTCAAAAGAAAAATATATAAATGTACAAGTAGACTGAATCCTAAAATCATCACCAGCCACCAGGAATAATCCCTTTTTTAACATTAGATATCAGATTAAGGTTATTTTTAAATCCTCTCCAGCAGGCACCAATGTGCAGGTGTGTTCATATAGATATAGATATTATATATATGAACACACCTGCAAAGACCAGGCAGTGTTTTCAAGAAAAAAGGTAAAAATAAACAAAAGGTTCTGAAACGAGGACGCCGTCCATCAGCTGGTCACCAGTAAACGATGCAATACGAGACGCTTGTTCCAGGCGACCAACGACAACAACAACAACAACAACAGCAGCAGCGACCACCGCGACCACGTGACCTTCGGCGACGAGGCCCAGCTCGTTCACACTGCAGCAGCGAAAAGCCAAGGACACGCCCCCAGGCCCCATGTGACACGCATGGGGCGATCTGATTGGAGGATTTGAGGACTGAGGCACTTGGCCGTTTGGCTGTTTTATTAAATATGGCAGCTAGTGTTTTAATAGGAAAAAGAATAAAATAAATATTCTGGTAATGAAACTGAAGCAGGACTTGTGTGTTTATTTTTATTTATTTAATCTGTTAATGTATGAAATTAACTTTTATTTTATTCAGAGCTGAAAAGTAACTGAAGATCTTTTCATCTTTGTCAGCATTGAAGAAGACTTTTCTTCAGGAAAACCTAAAAGTCTCTCGATGCTTTTATTAATGAAATACTCTTTACCTTTAGCCATCGATGCTCACGTGCACGACCACTATGATCATGTTTTATTTTACTTAAAAATAAATGTCTGTGTTTCATTGACACAGAAAAGGCTTTTCTAAACACTCACTGAAACATTATTTCGATGCATCCGTTGTTTGGCCACACGGTGGCGCCACGTCTCCAAAGAAAAGTCCTCATTGTGAGTTTGACCATCAATCAAAGTCATCAATAATAATGCAGAAGAAGAAAGTTCAGTATCTTTGCCTTTATTGGTTATTATTTATTATTGGGGAGATAAAGGCATGAAGGAGCAACAACTTTCTCCAGCTAAACGAAGCCCCACTTCCACACCACCTCCACCTCCACCTCCATTACCCATCTGACCTTTGACCGTCAGGTCATTCCGTCCTCCCGTTGCCGATCTGGGAGTCACCATAAAAAACACACTAGTGCAAAACCTCCTTCTATCATCTCAAAAACATCTCCAAACTCCCCCAAACCTCCACCCGCCCCTCCGATCGGCAAGCAGCTCCTCCGGGTCCCAAAGAGCCGGCGGCTCACTACGGGCGAGCGGCCTGCTGCCCTGCAACTAAACCCGGAAAATAACGGTCAGATAAATGACTTTGGTGTGTTCATATTGTAAGTTTTGTGCTGGAAGCTCCTGGTGATTATTGTTGTGTATGAAAGACAAACAAACTGTGAGAGAGAAACACGGAGGGGAGGCGGAGGTGTGAAGTGAGTTACCACATCTTTATCTCTTAATAATCATAACACATTTTATTTATTTGGAGTTTTTATAATCATCTGCTCTGCTCCTCCTCCTCAGACCTGGAGGATCCGACCCCACCCTGACCTTAACCCCACCCAGACCTAACCCCACCTGGACCTTAGCCCCACC